ACCCGCTGGCCACGCAAGTCAGGCTGGTCCTGGCTCCTGCCGGCACCGTCAGCCCCAGCTCGCCGGCCCTGATGACGGGCTTGGTCGCCGCAACTGGAAGACAAAACAGATGGTGCCCAGGTCACACCGGCCCTGGTCATGGTGGGGAAGGTCCCCCCCTCCATGGCAGTTTGTTCTCTGGCTTTCAGTGCTTTCCTGGAGGAAGAGGAGCACTGCCCTCCTGTCACCTCTCCACACAGGTTAAGCGCAGTTCACCTGTGCCTAAGCCAGGTGTACACCAGCTATGCCACCTACTGCCATATCACACAAGTCCTGCTCTGTGGAGTGGGTGTCCACCTTGCAGAAAGGCAGCTCTTTCTAGCACACACTGAGGATGCTTGGGAAGGGGAGAAGGCAGATTGGGGTAGTGCAACATCCACTTGCTGCCCCAGTTGGTAGAAGAACCACAGAGTTGACGGCTACCTGCACTAAACCAAAACCAGATCTGGATGTTATCTCAAGCACCATGTGTTCAAGGGGTGCTTGAACCAGTAGATCTAGATTGGGGTGTGTACTACCTGATCTCCCTTTCCCAGTCCATCCCTACACCTCCACGAGTGGAGAAGAAGGACTGACACAGCCATGGAGGAAGATACCTCGACACCCAGCCAGGATGTGGGTGGGCAGCATGGTGTGAAACGCTATTTCCACCAGCTGCTTCTTCTTCTACATGTTCTGTGGATTAGGCTGGCTACACAAGAGCAGGGCTTTATTGCTGGATTTACCTTTGACGACTTTAACTGTAGTGGTCACCTCCTTTGTTATCAAGCTGTTATTTTCAGACCTCCAGATGACTTGACAGGTATAGTGTCCGCTGTCAGGGATTTCAAGGTTCTCTATTAGGAGTGAGGTGTCCCCTGGGGTGTGCTTTGGGACGCTGACCCGGTCTCTGAACCGAGACAACAAGATGTGGTCACCAGAATCGTCCCTCCGAAAGACGGTAGAGGTGCTATAGTCTCGCTCCACACTCCAGATGAGCGTTTGCTGTGTGAAACCTTCTGAGGGCGTGTAGGTACACGGTAAAGTGGTGGATCCCATCCATGTGGCCTGGACCTGGTGGACACTAGACAGATCCAGGAGGGCTGCAGGGAACAATAGTTGGAGGGAAGAAATAAGAATGCAGCAGAAGAGAGAATGTCCTTAGGATAGATGGGAATCACTAGGCAGTGGACGTCAGCATGCAGCTGCATCTTAGATGTGCTGTAGACCACAGAGAGCTAAACCAGGGCCTGTCCCCACCTCACTGAGCATGGGGAAGTGAGCTGTGCTTTGACCTCATGGCCATTTTTATTGTTTCTCTCTGGACACTTGACAGTTCTTAGTTACTTCACAGTACAGAGGGGCACAAATCCTGCTCCTGGTGGCAGCATCACAGCTACAGTCTTTGTAAGACCGTGAGGAACATCTCTTATTCCTGCTCTCTAGCCTCATCCTTTACACCCTACTTCTGCTGCTGGGCTTTCTGCTTACACTTGCACATGATGAGTCAAACAGCAACAGCCTCCTCCCACTGACACGGGATGCTCTGACAACACCACTTGCAGTGTTGGCTTCTCCCTTATCTACAGGAAAAAGGATGAACAAAGCATGTTTATTGCTTCACTGCATTTAACAATGAATGCAACAGTTTTGCATTCATTGATGTCACTATTTTTAATGCAACTTCCCTGATGCTCACAGGACCCCACAGTGGATCTGTGAGGGGAGAAGCACTTCTCTGTGCAGCAGCCTGTCCCAGAGCTAACAGGAGGTGTCAGCTGTGGGGAGGCAAACATCTGTGGCTCTGTGTCCATGGGGACAGCCGAGGGGACTGCTGGGGCTGAGCATAGTGGAAGCTTGTTTCTGACATGGAGCTTTGCTTTTCCTTTACCAGATGACTTTGAGAGGTCAGGCACCGCTCCATTCTTCAAATCTCACATCCCAGTCAAACACAACTCATTGATGTATCAGTTCTTAAAGGTTTTCCATTTCTCATCATCTTCCTCTTTTCACAGACTCCCACCAAGAAAAACTAGGCAGGGTGGAAGCTATCTAGAAAACTGCTCAGAAATACCCTCAAGGCATTTGGTACACTCAAGTTCAAGTATGTTTGCTATCCGCTGTATTCATCTGGACACAATTTTGTTTCAACATCTCTCCCGTATTGTTTTGCATTGGTGTGTGCCATGAAAGAGCTGCCATCATCCACTGACCCCCTGGGGAGCAGCTGCAATCTGTATATGACCAATTTCAACATTAGCAGGGATGACTCCAAAGGAGAGCTAATTGGAAGGAATGGGAGAAACTCAACAAAATAAAAATCCCTGAGACAGCATTTTAAAAAGAAGTATTTCCTTCCAGTGACACTTCTTAAACTGGGATGTTGTCTTCCAGACAAACAAAATCCTCCCACCAGAGGGAGGTGAAAACCTCAAGGACTATGTCAGAGATTAGAAGACGGACCAGATGGATTTGTATTATCTATAACGCATTATAACAGGAAAAAAATGAACCCTCATATTCTGGCCTATTTTCTAAAACAGTTGAGCATCTTCCTTTCTAGCCTGCCAGCACCAGCTGTCCTGGTGGTGTGGAAGCACCATGCAGGCTGGAGCCCTTAGGGATCTGCCCTGAAGTACTGGACCTGAGCAGGAACAGAGAACCAAACCCACTCTTTTTGCTTTAGCCTTGGAGAACTTCAGATCTGACCTAGATTTCCTGGATCATACCTGCTTCAACCGGATAAGCACCTTGCCAAGCACTTAAGTGGGCACAGGAGAAGAGGGGGTGGATTTTGTGGTACCCAGCTCGTTCTCCCAGTCTCTCCAGCAGTCTGCCCACTGAGACCACAGCTCCTCTGGGAAGTGTCTCTTGTAAGCAGCAAATTGCATGAATTTAGCTGGACTTGGCTCACCTCTACCCATACCTCATCCCCCTCTTCCCCAGAAAGGCACTGGTTATGTTCAGCTGCATTAACTCACAATAAGTCACTTGAGAGGCAGATCCCAGAAATCTGCAAAGCTGTTTTTTTATGGTGAAATGGGGAACATACTTCAACCTGGGTTTTTTTGGGGTTTTTTTGGTTTTTTTT